AGGGTCCTTTAAAGATGAGCAGGTTCATTTCTTTTTCACAGTGTCGCTTGTATAGATAATGCCAGTTTGCTAGGTAAATAATTTCATTTTTTATTTTCATTTTTTTTCTTCAACTTCATTATTTCTAATTATATACGTTGATGGCGGCTGTTAAGTGAAAATTTTGCCTAATTGTTTTTGACAGATTTAATTAACAGTTCGAAGTTTGGCATAATTGAAAATGTTGTTGGTCTTATATTTCGCTGTGCTTTTTATAAATTCAACTTTGAAGTTTTCTTTCTTTTTCGATGCCCGAGGGAAATTTCCAAGCTTCAACTGTACAAACACAATATTAAATGGAAAGTAAGTTGTTGTCTCCATGCTTTAGGCATAACCTACTTAATAATGATTTAAAGAACAATTCAAAATTACTAGCTGAATATTTACTGAAAATATTTTTGCTTCAGGAAAATTCAAACTAGGATTTTCGATTACCCTTATCCATGTCTGTGGCTTCATATGGAAACTGATTTCCTGGAAATACGGATAATGGGGTATGAAATCTTTCAGGGTCGGCCTATTTCATCCGTCAAATGCTTAGCTAATAAATTCTTAGTGCTCAACGGTTCCTTCAATGATAGAAACTACAGTTTTTGAAATCGTCTTAAGACTACAGCTTCGCATTTTATATGGACTAATACTTACACAACGATTTATTTAATCTATATGGGTAGACCTAATATTATTATATTATACAATATTATGTTTTATCAAATACAAAAATTTAGCTGCAATATAGACGCGTCGAGTCATAACCTAAGCTCATAGATTGGACTTCATCCAAGCAATTAGCTAAACTCTTGATAGCCACAAGCTGATTATAGTTGCAAAAATAAGTCAGAACGACTTTTCCAGAGTCGATTTCAAATAAATGATACAATTTGCAGTCGGCGCAGTTTGCCGTAAATGTGTTAACTGTCATTTTAAAATTCCATAAATATTAAAAAATATCAACAAGGTAGCGCAAATACCGGTATTCCATATGCCATTCACACACGAGCGCATTAACTTTTATTGGCATCACATATACAACGACTGACCTACTTTGTATAACCGAAGCGGGCTACTGGACCCGTACAAATGCACACGCTTCCAGTAGAGACACAGGTGCTGGCACACCTGCTGACAAGGCACACACGGAGCGCGCACACACACACACACACTCACTCACATGCACACGAAAGTGCAACCTGAGATGAGTTGCGACGATGCACAGCACGAGAGGTGCTTTGATCTATGGCTCGTCCCTGAAGCCTTCTGCCAACCGGGCTAAGCAAACAGAAAAAACTTTCTGAAAGTAATTTCAGCCATTTGCACGTTAATTTAATTAACAGAGCAAGTGCTCATCATCAGCCACAAAAGAGCCGGCGCTCCGTACTAAATAAAGAATGGAGTATAGAATAAGCTGAAAAGGAACATATATTTGCCCGCCCCTTTATTATATCCTTTTCAGCCCTAATGTAAGCTTATCTATAGAAAATAAAACTCACAAAAAGGTTTTCTCGTTTTTTTTTTTTTCTAATGAAAACCAAAGCTGTTTAGCAATCGACCCACAGTCCATTAAATTGGGCGCTTAAGCATCTGCAAGATTAAATTCTGATAGAAATCCGCATCTGAAACTCTAAATCACAGTTTATGGTCCTTTGGCAAATGCAAAGAGGGGCGAGCCCATTATTTTATTTTTTCCTTATTTTATTTTATTTCGTCTTATAGATGTGCACGCATATGAATACATAAAAACTCGATCAAAATGCATGGCAGAAACAATTTAAAATAATTCAAGAGACCCTTGCGGGCAGCCACAAACAAGCAACTGGCAGATGGCCTCACAAGCCCAGTGGATACGCAGGATTATCTTGCAGATACTCGTACTTACTTATCGTACATGCGAGCACATCCAAGCCGGAGTGCGTGTATGCAAGGAATTATCAAGTGTTTGTCAACACACTCGCACAAAAACACACGCCCACACGGCCAGACACACATACTCAGACACTCAGAGGGGTGTCAGCCAGTAAGCACTACAAAGAGCTTATGTAAAGTGAAAGTGTGCGCGGTCGTGTTATAAGAAAGTGTCCGTCTTGTCGCTCAGTGCGCCCTTCGGACAGCTTCAATATACATATACATATGTATATATGTATGTATGTATAAGCTATGAGAAAATGCGTAAGCCAAACGACCGGAAAGATATATACACATATATAGATGTATACACATACATATATACGTGAAGACATATTTGCTTCTGCACATACATAAATAAGTTTCCGGATTAAACACACACCTCGGCCGCCATTGTCATCAGCCCAAGTTGGCGCAATAAAACCAATCTGAAACTGTGCATGAAACTTTTCCTTTGCCCTGCTGACTCTAAGTAGGTAAAGTATGTCATTTTGTCTGATACTTATACTGCGTCTGTATCTGTGTGTGTGTGTGTGTGTGTGTGTGTGTGTGTGTGTGTGTGGGTGAGTATGGGTACGATATTGCTATCTTATGAGCAGACATCAAAGGCATAACTTACATGCGTGAGCCAGTCACATATGCCATTTGTATACATATCTTACCAAATGTAAATTAATGCTAAATTTATTGCTTTTTGCCAAAATAAGTATCTCAAAAATAAAATGCTTTAATAAGTTTTTTTTTTGAATACGTTTTTTTTTTTTTATTCCTATATAAGCATTAATTGTAATTCATTAATTAACACGAATGACTATTAAATTGCTTACATATATTAAGAGAACTTGAAGGTCGTTTCAGTAAAGCTGCTATGCATAGGTGTGTGTAGAAGCTTTATATTAGATTATATCACTAAAGACACCTTGAGATGCAATACATACAAAGTTTTTTCTCTGAAATGCTTTTCAGCATCCTGCATAAAAGGCTTTGGCGGTATCCTAAGCAGATTTGGGGCGGGCAAATGATTTATATAAGCTATGAATATATCAGTTATGCATGTGTGAATATAATTTGTCCAGTTAAACAATTTCAGCAGAGATATGTGTATTAATACACATGTATATATCACATACATTATACATGTACACATATATAGAAATATATATATTTATATATATTTATATATGTATGTATGTATGCATGCGTACTTTTACATGCTTTTCACATTGTCCTTGTTTCTGTTAATACGAAAATATTTCATTTTTATTATGTATTTGTTTTTGTGTCTTCTTGTTCTTGGGCCACATACAATATTTAACAGTCTCAACAAATTACTTTAACCCTTCTCAAAACTGTGTACCCTTAAGGCTTTAAGTCATTTGTCAAAAACTGCAAAAACGGCTCACGGAAAACTCAAGCCCGCAAACACACACACACACACACACACACACACACACACACACACACAAATACTGACACATCCCCATACTTAGTCATGGTGAGACTTTCACACTTTCTTATGCAAATTTTCTGCTTATACGCATTTCTTTAAGGCTATTCCAGTGAAGCCAAACAAACGTATCCATATATATATATAGAGGTATATCATATATATAGCAGCTGAGAACTGCCAAAGGGCGCATTTCAAACACGTTGCCGCCAACTTCTTCACACATTAAGCCTATTTATTTTTGGCTCTTGTCAGATTAAATTACTTGGCCAGTCGACAGGCGTTGAAATATCATTCTCTGCCTAAACAATTCGCATTGGCGCAAATCAACATGGATTCCTGTGTGAAAACAAAAATCAAAGCATGTCAAACATTGCAAATGAATTTTTTGTATTTCGTCAAAAATAAAACGAGACAGAACAAACATAAACTGCTGTTGCTAGTAGAAGCTCGAAAAAAAATTTAAATTTAATGAATGCTAGAATTCAAGTGGGGAAATAGTCAAAATATTGCTATTAATCAAAAATTGGCAAATTTCTCGATTATTATTAAAGATTTACGGATGAATAAAGTAAAGTATCGTTGCATTCATTCTTAATCTTTTAAACATACATACTTGACATATCAAATACATAGTAAACTACGGAAACCTCAGAATTATTGGCAGTCTGCTTTACATTTGAGCAGCTTAGAAGAAGTTCTAGTAGTAAAATTTAGAGCGTGAAAATATCACAATTATTATTATATTATCAGAAAATAAGTCATACGACACACAGTGCTGGTTCTATAATATATTTAAGTTAGATTATATTACTTTTGATTTGCTATAAATTAACACTAGTTTTTAATTAAATAAGTCAATTATATTTATTAACTTAATCACTTTGCATGCATGAATCAACTCTTGCAATCAATATAAAAATACTTCTCCCAGCTTATTTGGCCACAGCTTTAATGTAATCAAGCCATTTACGTACACCACCAAGCCCCGGCAGATAATGTGCATTCCCTTGTACACAGGAACCGCATGCAGTGGTGTCAGAGTCAAGCCTACGCTATTATAAATGCTTATAATTGAATTTTTTATATTTCGCTGAGCTAGGCAACCGACCGACGGACCAGCTGAAACAACTCTGACCAACCGAAAGTGGTTGTCGTTTTTTTTTTTTGCGCTCAAGGATGCTGTCCAGCGACCCAGCTACATTTACGTGGGCCACATAAAATACAGCCGGCGTGCGGCCAGAAACTCGGACGTTTAATAGTTGGAGCCATAAATTCGCCTGCCCTTTGATGCAATTAGGAAAAAATGCTGGGTATTGGATTCTGGTACATCGCTGATAGTCTTACGTGGCTGGTTTTGTGGTTTTCTTTATTGGCTGGCTCCTGTGAAGGAAACGCGAATTAGAGCTATTCAATTTAGCAGTTTCAGTGCTGATATTCAATGTCATTTGGAGGTTAACCCAATGGCATGGGCGGAATATTAGAGGTGTCTGCACAACATTTACATGACTACACCGACTACAATTTGATTATATCATTAATTGAAAAAAACTCTCACTGGCCGAATGCAATTACTGTGTGGCATTAGTATAGAAAGATTTAATTTGTCTCATCAGACCAGTTTGAAAATTCAATCAACAGTAAGCGACATGTTGCTCAAATCACAAACAACAACAAAATAAACCCTTTTGGATATATGATAAATCTGAGATTAACAAATGTACTAACGAACCCACTGAGAGGAGGCAGAGCCAATTTCAGTTGATAATTTTTGAACGTATCAAATTCCAGTTGCGCTGTTAAGCCCTTAAAATATGTGCAATAGCACTGAATCTACAAACAAGTCTAGATTTCAGATACAGTTGCTGGCTGACAGAAGTGTTGTCTTAGTGAATGCGCGGGGCTATGAATCCGAAATATTTCTGCCCGAGCTGCTAAAGGGCCGAGTCTGTTTGCGGAATGTGATATGTAGCCGGCAGCCCAAGTCGCCGCCAAGTGAGATGAGTTCCCAGTCATCGTCGTCGGATCTTCGATGCCCGAGGATAAGGAACCTCAAGCTGACCACAGCAACGGCTGGCTTGGCGCCCAACCCGAGAAGGAGGGATAACACTAGCAGGCTACGCTTCGAGCTTAAGCTCATTTCGAACGGCAAGGTGGTGCTTGTGGAATGTAATGGCTACGAATCTGAGATTTTCCTTCCTCACATTCGTAGCCGTTGCGTTGCTATGAAGCGCATCTCTGCTAAGGAGCTGGCGCAATGTGCATCTGCGAAATCGAGTAGAAGTCAGTGTACACAAAAGTCGCCAAATAATTCGGCTGCCTCATTGGCAACCCAGGCTGTGGGGCTATCCTGCCTGTGGCCAACTTCCCCCAAGTCAGGAAATGTTATTGATAAACAGAAAAGTGGACAGAGAATACAAAAAGGCCAACAAGTGAAAAAAATGAAAAACCCGCTAAAGGACAAATCTTCGACTAGACAAAAAAAGAAACGCTGCAAGCAGTATTCTAAGGAAACCAGAGATGTGTCAAATTAATTTATTAAAGCTCGACAGAATTCGTATGAGTTGACAAAACAAACGGGTGCTAAACTTCAATATATATAAATACATTATATTTTGATGTGTAAATAGCAATAATATTTTCCAGTTCAGTAGTGTAAAAGTTTGTCTATGATAAAGTAAAGATTTGGCCAAACCAATGCATTTCAAAACCAATCAGTTAAAATTTTCTTTGAAGCTAATACTAAGCCAAAGCGCTATTTTGGTTGAGTATCCAGGACGGGAGCCGCAGCTGTTTATGCCAACGTTGATCAACAATAAAATCGTATTGCGAAACATCATATTTGATCACATCAATCCGCCGAACAGTGATGGCAAGCCAAAGCTACAATTCTCCAATAAGAAGTGCCGTTCCGAAGCGGACACCGTGAGGAAGAAACGCAAGGGTAAGCCAAATAGTTCAACTAGCGGTGATAGCTCTGGATTATGCGGCACCAAGAGCTCCAAATATGTGGCTTCCCGTGGCAATAACGATGAATGCTCCGAGTCGGTGCATTCCACTGACACCAAATCAGAGCCGCCCGACATCGACAGCCCCAAGTTGCTGCAGTTTGGCGATAACTATAACGGTAAAACATTAATACCGAGTAACGACCGTTTCCATTGGGTGCGCTCTGGGAAAACCAAGAAATTGACACCATATGAGAAGCAAAACAGCGGCACGAAGACCACACCGATTGCGGGTCCTGCAATTAAACCGACCATTGAGGACTACCAGGAGCGATTGCAGCTGCAGCTGAAGAAGGTGCATTCTAATGTTGTATGCAATCTTTTACCGCCGTTCGATGGCCTGCGATCTACTTACCAGGGCAAAGAGTCTAAAAGAGGTCGAACGCTGGTCTTAAGAAAAAAGCGAGCACACGAGGCTTAGTATTTCGCAATTAACTGACTTAAAACTTACGAGTTTGTATAATCTATAAATTTTCGTTTTAATAAATTTTAGCAAAAAAATAATTAGTTAATGGGTCGCTGAAGCTGTTATTTGTTGGTTATTTTGCACAGATTAACAGAAAAAAATCATATTCATTCACTTTCGTTTTGAGCAAGGCGCTTCGTTTTCTCTTGAGCCCACGGGTTGAACCATTTGTGTGACGCTCTTCAAACAAACATGGCTTACGATTGACTTTCGAACAATGAGATTCCCAAGCAAGTGGTTAAATAACTCAAGAACTTCATGCATATTCTTCGCATTATTATTCCTATTGCCTCAATGAACTCGGGAAAGAACCAGAGCGAAAAAAGTCCAAGTCGATCGCTAACGAACTCAACGAAGAATCGACGTAATCAATTGCGCTCTGAGTTTTTCTCAGAAACATTGGGAAATCTTCAGCAAGTATTTACGAGCTATGCCAACAAGTGCTATTTTTACAACGACTTTATTAGACGATGATATTTGTTGTGAAATTATAAATAAATGAAATCAATTGCGAAATGCGAGAAAAGTAATGCACAATAAACAACTTTGCGGAGGGTCAGTTACAGTGCCCGAAGTAGAACCGGTCTAGCGGGCCGAATACTCTTTAATGTGTGTGTGTGTGTGTGTCTATCTTATCTGTGTATGAATGGCAGCTGATTACTCATGCTGTTTGAGTTACGTGGCGTTTTGTTGGCATTGCAAATTGTTTCATATTTATTCACATTTGCGATTCAGTCTCACAATCAAAACGCGGGCCGCTGCTCGTATGCAAAAATGAGCGCTTCACACATTTTGGATTTGAAGGATGACTGTCTAAGATACCTGCTGGACTATCTGTCAACTGAAGATCAAATATGTTATGCCCAAGCCTGCCAGCGATTTCGTGACGTTTTCATCGATTGGGCCGGCAGACATTACCGACACTTCACGATCGATGAGAAGAACTCAAGGCAGGAGCTGATCAGATTTTGTATTTGCCGCGAGGCTGTCGAGGAGCTGACCATAGATCTGGATCACTTTGATTCGTCCCGAGCGCTGAGAAACTATGGATGTGTAGCACCTCTAAACTGCTTTAGCATATTGAGCTTAGCTTTGACAGGCATGACAAATCTGAGAAAATTGATAGTCAAACAGCTCAAGTTTATGCTCCTTTTTGCGCAACCCTTTGAGAAGACATTGGCTGCAGTCAAAGACTTGAAGCAACTTAAAGTCCTAGAGTTGCATGCGATCGATGGTATAGAAATATATTCGGGAATTATTTTTTTAAGCTCTCTTTATCATTTTGATTTTTTAGATTTTACCTTTGACAACTTAGGCCAACTGAAGCATCTGGAGGAATTACATTTGATTGTGAAGACACTAAGTGGCCCAGCTCTAACCAACTGCTGCAAGTCAAATCCCAATCTGCGTCATCTGCACCTTGGATTTTCCAGTGTCCAGCGGATTCTGAGCGACATTGCACCCCACTGTGCTAATCTGGAAACTCTTCAGTTTGGCATGATAGGAGAAGCGCCGGCATACAAAGCAATAGCCAAGCTGCCCAAGCTCAGGCAACTCATATATTATGGCATTCGGAGCACCAACTCCTTTCTGCCGCTGCTCACTGGATTGGCTGCGCGACCGCAGCTTCAACGCCTCGACATCGACGGAGGCAGCCTTAGCACTGAAGAGACTCGACAACTGGTTCGACTGAGCGGATTGCAGCAGCTAAAGTGCTTCTGCTCGACAGCTGAGTGTGTGGAGATGCTAGCGCAGCTAACACAGCTCCAGGCACTCAGCATATGGATGTCCAGCAGAGTCGACATTTCTGCTGCTATGCTAAGAGTGATAGGGGAATGCAAGCAACTGCAGCAGCTGCGCATTGCATCGGGCAACTTGAACTCTGATTTTATTAATGACGTCTCTGAAATACTCTGTGCAAACAAAACAGGACCGGATAAACGATCGCTGAAACTCGAAGTTCCCGTTCTGAAATATGTGACTCCGAAACTGGTAAAGTGCTGAAACCAAAGTGATCTAATGTATATAAATTAACTTTCGTCATTTATAGCAACTCATTGAAGGAAACCAAGCTCTCAGCTGCTCAGAGTTTGAGTTGGCTTCATGGAAAAACTCAAATTAAATGATAGGGTTAACTCACAGTGGGATCATGTGTTATTGTGGCAATACTTAAGTACTCTGTTCCGAAAACGACTCGAATATAGATAGGTATTCAATCTTGTACTCACTTAAAATAGGTAAAAGTTACAGCACAAATGAAATAATTTATTTAATATTCTCTTTCAATGCTTTTAAATGAATGCAAGCGCAACAGAGACAGGCGTAAAGCTTTGACTTAATTAAAGACTGATTGATTATTGGTCGGGATTCAATTTCAATTTCATTCGCCGCCACACTGCAAGCAATGAAATTAAAATCAAATTAAATGAGAGAATTTAACATTTCCATTGTCGCAGATGCTGATGGGACCACCTCATGCGCGTAACATGATACATGTATGTATGTATTTATGTATGTACGTTTGTATGTATGCATGATGATGATGCTGCTACTGCCTGTCAGACGAGCTGGCGGCCAGCAGTTGAAGTGGTTCGATCGTCTGCGAGTGGAGCCCATCAGTCAGCCAGTCAGTTGTACCGCCATTGCTTATTTGTATCAATTTAAAACAGTTTTTCTGTTTTTTCGCATGCGGGGCACGCTTTAACACGTTTACATTGAATTAAACGTTGCAGCCAGCACAACGGCAACATTACAGATACCAACAATAGCGCACACAAAAGCAACAACAGCAACAGCAACAACAGCAACAACAGCAACATGGTAAAGTTAAAATCAACATACATTGTTGCTGAACATTTCCTTTTGTGCCAGAGAGCCCAGTGCTCAGGGAGAGCAAAAGCCGGAAAGTGAAACGAGCTACGTCTGAAGTGAAAGAAAAATAGCAACAGGCAACAGCCAACAAACAACGAAACAACAATGGCAACAATAATGCGCTTCAGGCGACCCTCTCTCATCGAAATGGATTACATATAAATATACTTATTGTTCCATTTGGCAGCCGAATAAATATTTTGGTCAGAATTTGTGCCAATTGAAGGCACAGAGTACGTGATAATGGATAATCGTCATACTTTATCAATGAGACAAAAGACAAGCCCAACTGACTGACTGAAATATTTTCAACACTTTGGTTACCTTCAATTTATACAATTTTCTTTATGCAATTACAACAGAATTATTTGCTCTCACTCATGCTCGATCACGCAAGGTGCAGTCTTGAATCAAACATTATGATCTCAAACTTAACCCGTATAAGCTTAATAAAAGCTGGAGCTAAGCAGCATAAGGCACTCGTAATTTTATCAATAAAATTCAACGACAGTCTAAAGTACCCACTGAGCCAGCATGAATATTTTATGGCAATGTGTGAAGCCGCACATTATTAATTAAAATTTGCTCCATCAACAACAACAACAACAACAACGAGAACAACAACAACGAGAACAACACGTAGAGCAACAGCGTGCGCGGAATTACGGCAAACGAGGCGGCAGTAAAAACTTCCAATTACTCAAGCGTGCCCTCATCCTTCTTCGACAACGGCAGCAAGCACACAACGCAGGGACATCACATAAACGTTCATACATACACATGTGTGTGTGTGTAAGTGTGTTTGTATTTGCATTTAATATCCTTTTCTTTGAATAATTCATGCATACAGGGCTGACCAAACGACTGAACAGCATCAACTGCACACAGCGGCGTTGCAGGGCACAGGCAAAAGGCTGATGACCGAAGGGCTTCCATTTCATTGCTGTTGTTGTTGTGGCTGCTGCTGCTGTTGTTGTGGCTGCTGCTGCTGTTGCTGGGCATTTTTTACGCATACCGATGGCGAAACTTATTAATTGGCACTTGAGCTGTGGTTACCACAGCTCGACAGAGTCCAGGTTTTTTTTTTTTTTTTTAATTTTTTTATATTTTTTTTATTTTGTATTTTTGCCCTGGGCTCAACCAAAGCGCGCCGTCATTCAAATTTTGAGCAGGCATAATTTAACAACTTTTTCGTCCACGGGCTGCGCCCGTCTCTTTGGATATTGGATGTTGAACATCGCTGGTAATCCACTCAAGTAACAAGCTATAACCACCACAGCGGCAACAATAACAGTGGCAAAAATGTACACGTGACTGACAATGACAGAGCAACAAGATTGGCGGACATGCAGCAAGAGCCAACATGCAACAGCAACATGGGAATACCCTGCAATAGATAGGACACTACTACTCTAGAAAAGTACTTCACATTGAATAGTAAAGTGAATTGAAGGGATTTCCCTTAATGACAATTATAGCTTTGTGTCTGGGTCAATTCTATGCCAGATATGAAGAGAATAAGTGAGTTGTTAACTTGAAAGCTTACTGCTGGTAATGCTAGTGTGCATATTATGCATAAATGCATATGTCGTTGACTGACTGACATTTTGACGCACAGGAGACAGCCTCATATCCCCCAGTGACTGCGCCATCGTCACGTTTTACCATTTAAATTAAAATGTTTCGCTTAAAAGAAAGAGAGCTGCAAAAATTGCTTACGCCTGGCGAGAGCACAACAAAAATCTCAGCCACATCCCCTTCAAAAAAAAAAAAAAATATTAAAAAATAAAAAAATGAAAAAACAAAAGAAAGAAAAAAGCTACGAAAATGTATAAAAAATGAGTGCGCTGCTTTTTTCGCTGCCCTGTTTGGCGCTGTCTTTTGCAGTTGGCGCGTTTGCCAGCTGCACTTGAAAGCCGCCTTGTTGGCCATCAGTGCCAGTGGCAGTGGCCGGTTTGGCCATCGCCATTGCCTGCGCCATCGCCAACGCCATCTACATTGCTCCTTCTTCTTCTTCTTCTTCATTTATTCAATGCCGCGCTGTTGCCATCAACAGCGTCGGTCACACGGCGTATCAGTGTTATTCAAGGGGGCTTATACGCTATACAAGAGCTTTTCAGCTCACTCTTTACCAAACGTTGAACAAGAAGATGAAATAAAGCTATAACTATATATGTATGCATATTTTAGCAGCCGATTTCATTTCCCATGAACATTAAAGATATTTTTTTAATTATTGAGTGAGTGTTCTATATAGATAAGTAAATATATATCTGATGTTCATACTAATCAGAACTTTATTTAAAAATTCTCAGATTTCTTAACTCAAATATATGATATACAAAAATATACATACATAGTTTTTACCTATATAGTACTGTTCTTAGCATGGAATCATAATTGATATCATACTCAACAGTCTCAATATTTCAATTTTCCATCTATTGCTCTCATATTTAATTGCAACATTGTGCACAAAAATTATTTGCAGCAACATTCAATGTCGTTTACTGCAGCTGCCCCTGACGAATTAAGCACTTTCATTAAGTGACTGCAATCAGGTAAGAAATTATCAGCCAGCAGCTGGCGCCTTAGCTTGGCGACCCGCTCTGCGATATCTTAATGCACTTTTAATTGAGCAGAGACCTGCGAGCTGCACGGAGCAGCCATCTGTCAAGGGCGATGGGGTGAACATTGAAAAGAAGTGCAAATGAAAAATTATAATTAACGTGGCCATTAGCAAGAGTGCCAAGTGCCAAGTGGCAGATGCTGTTGCTGTTGCTGTTGCTCCCTTCTTCCATCTTCCATCTTCCTTCTCCCTTCTCCCATTTCTGATTTCAATTTGGGCAACTATTTTAATTGGCAACCAATGACAAGGACAATGCGTATACGCCATGTGTTACCATTAGTTAACATAAATTATTGAAAATCATAATTTATGCGCAAGTTGTCATTGTCAGTGTTGCCTAGCTGAATATGCAGCCCCATTTAAAAGGCACGAAAATGAATACAAGCCCAATTAACTCATTCATTTGCAGCATTTAGGTGGACAGCCAGGCAATTGTAATGGGTGCATAGCACAATTGCGACATGGATTTTGCGTTCGAGCTTTCATAAATAAATCAAGCTAATTAATAGACTGTCGATGTCATGTAGTCGCAAATTGTGTGAGAATGGCACTCGAAATGATTCCGTTGCCAAATCAGAAATTTTGGCGCCTGTTATCAGCGAACAGTGACAAGCGCCCATTGATTAGCACTTGCTTAGAGTAACTATCTGAATTAAATCAACAACTACGTCAAGAGCCATTCTATTGATAAATATTTCTTTTCGAGTCAATTGACATGCATCGAGAAGTGCTCACTTATTTATTGCATTTTATTGGCAGGACCTCTGTGGGTCTGTGAGTCTGTGAGTAGCAGCTGTCAGCAACAAATGCGAATAAATTGTATTTCTGCAAATCCAATTACCAAATGATTTGTTTTTACATATAATTTCGATGTTTTCTTTTCTCTTAGGGAGCATACCCTATGCCCACAAAATGATTGCCGTGGGCTATAAGAGAAATCGGAAACTGTTTGCTTTCGCCTTGGGTCTGAGTGCAGGGTATTATATAGTCAAGCCCGTTTTCGTATTTATTTTCGACAGACGCTCTGCTTTTTTACCACCGAAATTGGGGAATTCCATTGCCGAAATTCGCACGCACGTACAGTGCTGCAAATTAGTCTACATACGCATCGGTAAATTATTTGGTGTGGCTCTTTAGTGCAAATAATCGCATGAAGTGCGTTGCCTGTCGTTGATTTTGATGGTATTGATGCCAATGCTTTTTGGGCCCCAAATAAATATTTGATTCCTGTGTTCATAAATGGCTTCTAAATTGCAAATGTCGGCAAAGGAAATCAATTAGTGTTTGACAGATCGATTTTGGTATTGCTTTTGTGCACACGAATTACTAGGAAATATGCCTATTTCACTTCCAAATATAAACATTTTGTATAATCAAATAATTGTACCATAAACTTTGATAAGCAACAATTATGGCATTAGCTAGGAATTATACTATAGTTGGCCTTAAATGATAAAAAAAAGTGCCTTTTTAAGAAATGCGACTATATCCAGTCATTCAGATATTGCAATAAATTCTATGCCCGTAGTCTAATAGTTGATAAGTAGTAAGTCTATAGATTGAACACCTGTCAGCTCATAAGTGGCTTATAGATATATATTTTACATTCAAGAGGTAAATTTTAACGCAAGTCATTTCGTGAGCGTTGGTCAGTCCACATCTACTTGCGCTGCCGCAATCGTAATCAGTAATACAATCAACTGCCATAAATAAGTGCGTCCGAGCACTGTTATGATAACAGTACTGTTATGATAACAGTATCGTCGCATTGTCTTGGCCATATAAAGACGGCATTGCTCAACGAAAGGGTTGGCATAATGTACTCGCGTCTAGTACTATGAGGTGCGACGTGACTGTGATCCTAATCCTGGAGCTGCTGGTCGGCCTCAGCTCCACCGCTGCACGTTTATCGCGTGTGTTGCCCTTTGCCGAAGGGGAACAGGGCGTGACCGTGTTCGGAGACTGCGAGTTTCGAGTCAATGGCGATCTCAATGATCCAGCTCCGCTTTTTGCGCGACATAACTCTTTCGAGATTATCGTTCCGGACCCTACGGACACAGTGCGTCTAAAAAATGGTGAACTACTGGATATGTTCTGCCCTGGCGCTGGCTTTGTGGCACCATTTCAAACGAGAACTCAGCTGACTGCGCAGTGTCTGCAGCAAAAGTATTTCCTGATCGATGGCCTGATCTATCCCTTTGCCAACTTCAGCTGCACGGCCTGGCCGACCTTCTCGGCGCTGCGCACTGGTCGGCAGTGCAACGGTGGCACGGATCTGGTCAAAGTTGGCTTCGAGCTGGACGACGACGGATTCCTGCAAACCTTCGATGTGTGCCATGACGAGCTTGCCGAGGCCACACGCTATGTGCACCATGTGCTGTACCCATCCAGCTACGATTATCAACACGGTGTGGCGCGACCGAATTTCATTACTCTAGACTTCTACGGCGGCCGAGATGTCAATAAAAAGTACACGCAAATAGAGCAGAATATCACAATAAGCAACATTCTGGGCCTGGATGCCAGCCCATACTTCAACTATAGCGACGATCGGATATTGGCACGCGGCCATTTGATTGCGAAAACGGATCAGATCTTTGGCGCTGCCCAAATGTCCACTTTCATCTTCATCAATGTGGCGCCTCAGTGGCAGAGCTTCAATGGCGGTAACTGGGAGCGTGTCGAATCGAGCGTTCGCAAATTTGTTGCCGATCAGCATTTGACTGTTGACTGCTATACCGGAACCTGGGGCGTGTCCACGCTGCCCGACTTCGAGGGCATCGAACGTGAACTCTACCTGGACTTTGATGAGAACAACAATGGCCTGATACCAGTTCCCAAACTCTATTTCCGCGTCATAATCGATCGTGCCAGTCGAGAGGGCATTGTCCTGGTGGGTGTCAACAATCCCTATGTCACCTTGGAACAAATTCAAAGTGATTATATTTTGTGCGAGGATGTTGGACATCTGCTGAGTTGGGTTTCTTGGATTAAGGAGGATCTACATGAGGGCTATTCGTATGCGTGCTCTGTGGAGGATTTCACGGAAGTGGTTAAGGACTTGCCTCTTGATGATCTGCACACGACTGGTATCCTTGGCTTAGATAAAGACACCACCAGCGATGCACCAACCACTGTTAGCACTACTGAAGTGCCTTCTCCAACGGCATCTGAGACCACCACTGAGATCCCCACGACTGCTGAGAGCACTACAGATATTCCAACTGAATTACCAACGACTATTGAGAGCTCCACAGATATACCCAGTACAATTTCTACAACCAGCACCACTGAACTACCGTCGACGACTTCTGAGAGCACTAGTGATATTCCTAGCACAGTTTCTTCTACCAGCACTACTGAACTACCGTCTACGACTTCTGAGAGCACTAGTGATATTCCTAGCACAGTTTCTTCTACCAGCACCACTGAGCTGCCATCTACAACGACTTCTGAGAGCACTACCGAGTCCTCCAGCACTGCATCCAGCTCAACAACAACAACAACCAGTCCAGCTCCAACACCTCAGCCCAATCAATGCTACTTCAGCATCAACGGAGATCTCACAGATCCTGCCCCACTGCTCACGCCGGAGGGAGCACTTAGCTGGCTTCTGCCCGATGAATCGGGTATTTACACGGTGGATGATGGATCGAGCATTGATTTGCACTGCACCGCTGCACTGGCCGTTCCATTCAATAGATATACCGCGCTGACGGCACGCTGTGTGGGTGACCAGATGTATGAGGCGGAGGGCCAGAGGGTAACGATAGGGGAATTCACCTGCCAAACTTGGCCCAGCTACCAGGCAGTTCGCACTGGAGTCTCGTGTGAGGGCGGCACTGAGCTACTGCAGATTGGCTTTAACGTGGCTGCCGGACTGTTGTCGCAGCTGGAACTGTGCTATGACGAGAGCGCACAGATCACACGCTACGCTCGCTACGAGCTGACGCCAGCCAATGTTGCCTATCAGCGGAACGTGGCACAGCCCGGGTATCTGCGGGCCGACTTCTATGCGGGCAAGGACGTCAATGTGCTCTACGGCCTGTCGCATCAGTACGAGATGCTTAGTGAAACTCTTGGCATAGACGCGAGCCAATACCTGGACAGCAGTCGCGATCTGTACCTCACTCGGGGTCATCTCGCTGCGCGTCAAGATTTTGTGCATGGCTCGGCGCAGCGTGCGACGCACTTTTATGTGAATGTGGTGCCCCAGTGGCGCAGCATTACCATAGGCAACTGGCTGGCCGTGGAACGTAGTCTGCGCCAATTCGTGGCCAATGAGGCGATCAACGTGAGCGTGCATGCAGGCAGCTGGGGCGTAGCCACACTGCCGAATGCCGAGGGCAAGCAAACGCCGATCTATTTAAATGCCGACACGCAGCAGCTGCCGGTGCCACGACTGGTGTATCGCATTGTCATTGACCAGGAGAGCCGCAAGGGCATTGCCCTAGTGGTGGCAAACGATCCACATGCCAGCCTTGGCGAAATCTTGCAGGATTATGTCGTCTGTGAGGATGTGGGTGCGCAGCTGGATTGGCTGGACTGGGAGAAGGCCAACATTGAGAAGGGCTATGCCTACGCGTGCGCTGTGGAAGATTTCACTGAAGTGGTCAAAGATCTGCCACTCGATCAACTGGATACGACTGGTGTGCTTGGGCTGCCGGAAGAACCATCTCAGGAGCTGTGCAGCTTCCGCGTGAATGGCGATCTCAAAGATCCAGCTCCGCTTTTTGTGCTACGCGACGAGCAGGGCACCGCACATTATTTGGAGCCCAATCCACAAGGTGTGGTGGAACTGAAGCATGGCCAGGCAATAGAGCTGCACTGCAGCGGCCCAAAGTCATTTCAAGGAGAGTTCGCCGGATTCTCTCAACTAAGTGCCAGTTGCTGGCAAGAAGCAAATTTCTTGGTGCAGGGCAACGTCCGCCATATCAACGACTTTGTGTGCGCCTCTTGGCCCGGCTACACGGCTCGACGCACAAATCGTGAGTGCAATGGAGGCACCAATCTATTGGAAGTTGGCTTTCAGCTAGCCAACGATGACAGCCATGATGACTTCCTGCAAACCTACGATGTGTGCCACGATGAGCTGGCGGAGGTAACACGCTATGTGCATCATGTGCTGACGCCCAGCAGCGCCCAGTATCAGCGCTCAGTGAGCCGGCCAAGCTTTATCACGGGCGACTTCTATGGCGGCAAGGACGTCAATCAGAAGTATACGCAGGTGCAGCAGAACATCACAATCAGCGGAATTCTGGGCATGGATGCCTCGCAATACTTCGATATAGGCAGCAACGTGTATCTGGCCAGGGGCCATCTATCCGCCAAGACTGACTTCATATTTGGCGCCGCGCAGCAGGCGAGCTTCTTCTTTGTGAATGCCGCACCCCAGTGGCAGACCTTCAATGCGGGCAACTGGGAGCGCATTGAGGATAGCGTGCGAAAATTTGTGGCTGATGAAAACATAACTGTCGATTGCTATACTGGAACGTGGGGTGTGTCCACGCTGCCAGATGCAGAGGGCGTGCCCCAAGAGCTCTACCTGGACTTCGATGAGAACAACAATGGACTGATACCAGTGCCTAAGCTATACTTCCGTGTGATCATTGATCGGGATAGCCGCAGGGGCATTGTGCTGCTGGGCGTTAACAATCCACACATTGGCGTGGACGAGATTGAGGAGGACTATATTATCTGTCCTGATATCGGCGATCAAATTAACTGGATAAGTTGGTCAAGGAAGGACTTACAGAAGGGCTACTCGTATGCCTGCACTGTGGAGGACTTTATAGAAACTGTTCAAGATTTGCCATTGGACGATCTGCAAACGAATGGCGTTCTAGGTGTTTCGGCGTAACGCTAATCACCACACTCTATTACTATATAATGGTCTAATCAAACTAGCTGAGCATACAATAAATTATAATCAACATTAATAACTCACCAACGATAAGCAGTCTTTTAAATTATCATTCCACAATTGCTCACGTGTCACACGTTTCGCATAGCCAAAACTCCGTATATTTTCATTCGGCTTGACAAGACATATCAGCACTTTTAGATTTTGTAACATAAACAAAAACATTTTTTTTTTTTTTTTAATTTTTTGCTATGATAATCTAATCTCTAAACGTTTACGTCTCGCATTCATTAAAATCAAAAGTCAATGGCATTTGATGTTTTAATTATGTCTGTAAATAAAACTAAACATTTGACTTTTTTTATGCCCAAAATAAGTTTAAAATTTAGCTAGAATACTCTGTTAAATCACCCATAACTATCAGAATGGCCACATTTAATCTTTAGGTATTAATTAAATCAAGCAAGCTTCGCTTAAATCATTTGCACACTAAATGCTAAAAATCATTCAGGCATAGCTTGCAAATCATATAAAAGGAAGCTCACATTGAGAAGAGAATTCAGTTATCAAAACAAAAGTACTTGAAGCAACTGGGTCATGTTTATAAAGTGGCAAGTCGGCTACATAGCCTGTTGTGTCTTGGCCATAATTGTGGCCGTAGCAGCCCATGTCAATGCCTACAAAAGTAAGTGATGGAAACTGCCTGCATTCGGGTCGCAATGATTTAACAACTTCATTGACTTTGTCAGAGTTTGGACGCGACTGTCGCGACATTAGTTGTGTGGGCACTGAACGATGCATATTAACCAGCGTGGCATGCGAAAAGGATCAACTGGATGGCGAACACTGTGGCCAATATCCGAAATGTGTCGAGCGTTCAAGTAGCCCAGGTGTGTAAAGCCCACTCAACCCATTCACCGTCTAGCGGCACGCACTCATTGCAAACCCTTTTCCTGGTCCGTTTCAGATCAGCATTTGAATCAGTTCATGATCGACACCACATCCACCACAGCTAACACTCGCAGCATCAGCGCACCCATCTCCGGTCCCAGCACCAGCACGCTCCATTTGAATCATCAGCCGTACACTGAGTCGAATCCAGACAGGGACGATGGCTTTGAGCTCCTTGATGGAGTCACTGGGCCAATGCCGGGGGCCAGTCATGCCGATCAGCGACAGGCAAACGTTCTGGTCATTGTGCAGGATGGGTCCCAGCCGCCCATGCAAAATCCTAATTCCAATCCCAATCTCAATTATAACAGACAGCTCTGGCGACAGCCGTGCATTGTTAGTCCATATTATCCATATGCCTGCACCAATGCGCCCCCACCAAACATGCCCGTCTCGAGATCAGTTCCCCCTTACGGCAACGCACGGGCCGCCTCCGGACCGCAGCTAGTGCCACCAACTCCGCCGTGCTATTACAACTGTTATCCCAGACTGGCAGCTGGGTATCCGCTTGCTCGATCCTCTAGACCTACCGCATCGACGAGCAACTACTTGCTTTACATATCCATTTAGTGGCAAATAGTTTGTGCACCTGCTCCTGCTGTATGTTTCAGGTGTTCTGCCCGAAACAATACCAAGTTACTATTCCTGATCAGTCTCTCTGTTTTTCTTTTGGCAATTCATCTTCCTAGATTCGCCAGACTTCATTGACTCGGAATTCGAATCATCTTACCCACTGCATAATGTAACCGCAAGACAAGTCTATATGCCTGGACGCATGCCCATGCCTATGCCAGTCCCAATGCCAATGCCAATGCCAATGCCAATGCCCATGCCCATGGCAAGACCCCTTCCTGGTCCGGCACCCATTCCCGGTCGTGTGTACTATCCTCCGGTAAAACGCAGACCCATGCCAATGCCAATGCCAGTGCCAATGCCTCCACCTCCACCTCCACCTCCGCCTCCGCTGCCAATTGTCATCCTGCCCATTGGTGTGGGCAGTTTTTCAGGCATGGGCTACAATTACAATCAGTATTATGGGCCAAGTGGCATCTACCCCAATAACCAATACAGCCCTCAGATTCCCAACTATGACTATTATAACAACAACAACAACAATAATAATAATAATTACAATTATGTTAACAATAATTACGATTACAACTCATACGGATAAATAAATAGCTTAAAAGTCAACTGATCCTCAGAATAATATTTTATTTTAATGCTTATCCCAATTGCTTTCAGGATTTCCATTAGGAAGGCTTAAGCGACAAGCTGGACAGATGGGTGGTAATGGAATGGGTGTAAATGGCAGAGGTGGTAACGGAATGGGAGCCAATGGAAATGGCATGGGTGGTAGAGGTGGAAATGGAGTAGGACCCAATGGAAATGGCAATGGATATGGCATGGCTGGTAGAGGTGGCAACGGAATGGGAGCCAATGGAAGTCCAAGTGGAATGGGTGGCAATGGAATGGGCATGGGAAGAAACGGAAATGGAATGGGAGCCAATGGTATGGGTGGTAGAGATGACAATGGAATGGGAGGCAATGGAAATGCCAATGGATATGGTATGGGTGGTAGAGGTGGCAATGGAATGGGAGCAAATGGGAATGGAATGGGTGGTAGAGGTGGTTATGGAATGGGACCCAATGGAAACAGCAATGGATATGGTATGGGTGGTAGAGGTGGCAACGGCATGGGCGGCAATGGAAATCCAAATGGAATGGGTGGCAATGGAATGGGTATGGGAAGGAACGGCAATGGCATGGGTGGCTACGGAATGGGAGGCAATGGAAATACCAATGGAATGGGTATGGGAATGGGAAGAAATGGTTACGGTATGGCTGGTAACGGTATGGGTGGTAATGGAATGGGAGGCTATGGAATGGGAATGGGAATGGGTATGGGTATGGGTGGAAGGGGTGGCAATATCAATGGAGGAATGGGCATGGGCTCTGGTGGACAGAATCCACGGGCTTACACAATGTGTGGACCTGGATATCCTAGTCCATTAATTAATGGTAATAACGGCAATGGTAATGGAATAAATATGAATGGAAACGGTGTAAATACAAATGAAACGCTTGAGCGCACAAGTGCATCCTATCGAAAGAAAAGGAATGTACATGGATTTAACAATCGAAGAGATGCTGGCCAACAAAACCAGCAGGGCGGTGGCAATAGAGTGGAAGGCTATGGAATGGGTGGGAATGGCATGCGTGGAATGAGCTATGGTAGAATGTGTGGCCCTGGAATGGTCCACGGGCACGTTGGTATAGGCATGGCTGGAGGCAGGGGAATGGGCACAATGGGAGGCGGCAGTGGACAATGGAGCAACAATAACTCTGGCGCCTACATGACTCAAGTGTCATTTAATCAGAGCCCAGATGGTGCCTCTGTGGATGCCAGTGTCACTGTAAGCAGTCTAAACAGTGATACCTCACAAAGACCAAAACGTCGCAGGAACGAAACCGAATGGTGAAGAATTCATACTGGATCATATATTCAATTTGTAAAATAAATATACAAACTTAGAACTGCATAGCACAATTTTTAATTGCTTTAACTAGATTACTATATTAACAAGTTAAGTTTTCCGAATTATTTATTGTAGCCTTTTGAACAACTGAAATGTTAAGCTCATTTCGTAAATATCATGTGTGAAATGCTAGATAAAGGTTACAGAAATTTCCTGCTATTACAATACCAAACAATACTACAGTGTATTCAATATGACAGCAATCATTCCTGCTTGGCAGAGCTATAACGAATCATAAGATTCTGGCTGATAACCGGTTTAGAGAGAGTTACACGTAAAGAAAGAATCAAAGAAAGAGAGAGAGTGAGAGTGAGATTGAGAGAGAGATTGAGGGAGAGAGGAAATTAAAGCTGTGTATAAAAACACCTGTTGAGACCACAACTAATTGAATACGTAAACAGACGCCGCACGAGACACTTCGAGAGCAGAACTTAGCTAACATGCATATGTTTTGGATCGCTTTGTTGTTATTCGCGTCAACGAACGAGATTCGAGCGCGGGAAGCAATGAGGCCAGCAGAAGAAGTGGGTCAAATAATCAAAGATCTTGTGGGAGCGAATGGGGCAGCTGAAGAAGGTAAGTGCATGATGCCCTCATTCAGCAATGTCAAACTGAATATTCAAAAGTGCAGTTGACAATGAGCCACATTTTATATCTAAGCCAGAACGAAATGGCTTATACATATTGCCAGTTTCATGGGCTTAGAGTAAGCTGAAGTGCTGAGTAATTTCTCTTATACTACAAATTCTAAATTATAATTTGCATCTAACTGCTATGTATTATAGGTGCCGCATGTATATTGGACATTCAAATGGATTTGCCACACTCCAAACAGCAGCCGCTTTACCTGCACCCGGACACGGACACCTACTGGCTGCCCAATAAAGAGGGAAAGTTGGAGATACCAACAAATGAAAATATCGAGCTCTATTGTGAGAATTCATTTTCGATTGGCGATAGCATTGAGCACGGCTCATCCCTACGGGTTCGCTGCCTGAATGACAACATATTTCAGTGGAACGGGCAGAAATGGGAGTTGGAGGACTTTACCTGTTCCACACCACTGATCTATACTGTGGAGCAAATGAACCAGCCGTGCGGGGATGGAGACGACCTGTCGCCGGCTCGACTGTATCGCGTGGGCTACAACATCAGCGAGGGTCGATTTGTGCGTACCATTGACCTCTGCCACGATGCAAATCAGCTGCAAACACTCTACGCTTCCTACCAATTGATCCCAGCAAATTCGCTCTTTCAGCGAGGAGTTAAACGCATTAAGTTCAGTGCCGCAGGCCACTTTTCCGGCTACGATATGAACACACTCTACTCGCAAAAAAGGCAGCTAAGACGAGTGGCGGAACTGTTTCAAAGACTCAATGCCACGGAGAACGGGTCGAGTTTCCTGGCAAAGGGACAGTACCTTACACGCGGCCACCTGGCAGCCAAAGCCGACTTCATTTATGCCAGCCAGCAACGCACGACCTTTAACTACATGAATGTGGCACCGCAGTGGCAGATATTCAATGGTGGTCCCTGGCAAATCATAGAGGACAAAATTCGAGAGCTTGTGTCTCGCCTAGATCTCTCGGTGAGCGTCTATACGGGCACCTATGGTGTCATGCCGCTTTCAAAGCAGACTGCCTTCCATTTGGCCAACAATGCTAATGGCAATGGCAGTGGCGTGCTGCCCGTTCCGCTTCTCTACTATCGCTTGCTCATTGATAATCAAAATCCCAGTCGTGGCCTGGCCATCATGGGTGTCAATAATCCGCATGCTACGCAGAGCGAGATAGAGGAATCGTACATTATATGTCCACGTGTCGAAGTACCCTCGCTTCATAGCTGGCTGCAGGCGAAAGATCTCAGAAAAGCATATCTCTATGCGTGTCGTGTGGCAGATTTGGCAATGGCCGTGGGCCATTTGCCGCCGCAGCTGCAAGATGTAAACGAGCTGATAGAGGAGTCATAAAATCTTGAATTTAAATCATGGTCATGCCATTATCAGAAGACTGTGTGCGAAAAGCATGGGAAATTTAAATAAAAGTAGACACCACAAACAATACATTGTCATCAGTTTTATTGTTTTTCTTTCGGAAACTCAAGAATATTAATGGAGACATGGTAATTTGTGAATTCCAAGATAAAGTAAACCGAGTATTTTGATATTTACTTTGGTTTTTTCTTAATTTCGCTCAACAAATAATTTAGCACAGAAAAAAAAACGTCATAATAATGGAATATCAGTGAGCTCTTAAGTCAACACAGAAATCTTACGCACACATTGTTTACTGCCAGCTAACATGAAAAATATAATTTTCGTCACCCAGCCGCGACTTCACCTTGCCGGACGGACGTAGCAGCAGCGAATTGTAGACGTACGGAAGGCGGTTGGAAGTACGTTTCGGCGTTTTCAAATCAGTAAATGCAAATATAAATGTATTGAAAGCTCAAATGGGACCGAATTCAAAGCGAAGCAAAAGCAAGAAGAATTTATGGTAATGCGGAAAAGAGAAGAGCAACAACAACAGAAATGAAGAAAAAAAAAGAATTCAAGGACGTAAAATACCGGAAAACGGCAACAAAGGCAACGGAAAATTTAAGAAATTGTGCCAAACGACAACGCTGTTGGATGTGGGCGCTGTATATGTGTGGGCGGTGTATGTATGTGTGTCTGTGTGTGCTTGTGTGAAGCAGAAGAAAAGGATTAAATCAATGTTGCGGAACAAATTGTGTTATGTGGGGCGCCTTCATGGAGGTAATACAAACCTATTTCATTTCTTCAAGCCAACAAGGCATGGCCATAATGGGTAGCCGAATGTGAGCCAACTTTTCGACCACAAGCGACGACCCAATTTGATGGTGTCAAAGTCACACGAGCGTTAATAATGTGGGATACATGTTAGACGGCTAGTGCAAAGTCAAGAGAGAATGATATGATTAACTATGCACACATACATGTAAATATACTCAATTAACCGCATATGAAACGGCATTTAGGGTTACCTTAAGTCACCTCTATCGGGATATTTGTTGGCAAAATGTCAAAGGAATATCTATTTCGTCAAAGCCACAGCAAATACATTTTGATGACATTTATTATACGGGTGCATCGTTAACCCAATGTTTACCCAGACCGCAAATATGACTGCAAACGGTCTTACAATTCAATCGATTCCAACTTGCGGTTGCAGTTTCTGCTGAATTCAACAAGAGAATTTCTTTCTTTGCAAAACAAAGTTAGGTCGCTGAAACAATTGTAAAAACTGAAGACATTGTTTGTCTGCTAGTGGATTTTGTTTTCAGGGTCGACGACATGACTTCAAATGGCTGCCCTGGTGACTTTCGTTTGTTTGTTTTTTTTTTTGGCAATTGTTGTGAGCTAAGCAGTGTGGGTTCTGTTTCAGTACAGACTTAAAAACTTGATGAAAGTTTATCTGCGCGGAAACGCGGTTGCAGAGAGAGAGAGAGAGAGAGAGAATAGCAAGAAACCCCGATGAAAAAAGAACGAAAAAGATAATTGAACGCACTTTACGCAGCTGTTGTCGAGGGGTTTTTGTTTTCCTTATTTTTTTTTTTCATTTGCCTTTCTCGTTTTTATTTGTTACTGTGTGGAAATGAAGGATATGTTATGTCCTGCGGTGGTCTGCGGAAATTATTATTTATATTTTCGTATTCGGTTCGTTGCATTGTTAGTGGGTTTTCATCTCGATGTACTTTTTAATATTACCACTTTTTGGTCACGCGTTTTTTATTTTGATTAAAATGCATATTAAATCTTGGCAAACAAAAATTACAGCAACAACTGAATAAAAAAAAAACATTAAAATAAAAATCAACACAAAAATAATATAAATAATTTCCTGTGACCGGCTGTGCTCTGTGCGCCGTACGCCTTGTTTCCTTCCGCCTTCAGCCGTGCAACTACAAACCCTCGAGCCACACTGCCACTCTGCACGGATCCAATGGCCCATACGTTCGAGCCAAATCGAGTCGAGCCGAGGCGGCCGCATTGCATGCAAAAGGCAGTCAAGTTGAAATATTTTGTTAACAGTGCGTAGGTCTCCCAAAAGACAAAAAATACATAATATAACCGACATTCATACACACACAAGCACACACACACATGTATGCTATATACCTACTTGGTATATAGGATATGCATATAAAGTTTCGCCTTCTGCGTTATTTACATGTGTAACAACAATGGGCGCTCCCAGAGGCAGGCGCCGGGCCGATGGAATCGGGGACTGCGACAAGACAGGCAGGAAGCACGCATGCAAGAGGCATGATATATATTGGAAAATTGAGGTATCCATTTGCTCACCCATTGAAAATGGGTAAAAAGGGGTATAATGGATTTGAGCAAATGTCTTAAATAGACAAAAGGAGGTATTACCAGCGCCATTGAGTAGAAATATATGTATATATATGACGAACATGTTCGTGCAAGCACCGGTCTAGCTCAGACAAAAGCTGAAATCAATAATCATTGCTATCGATTTGCAGCTCTGCTACCCATTAAATTTAAAAAGTAATTAAACAATATATCTGAACTACATTGAAATATGTATATGAGAAGAAAATTCCTATTCAATTCATAGCGTAACACAATCATGTGCTTCGTATCTCCCAAGTGGAGGTTTACAACTTCTTGATTATTCATTTAAACATGAAACTTGTTCGAATCGACATGCAGTGCGTAATTAATGCTTCATGTCAGGTCTGGGGTCTGGAGTAGATTGAATGATTCAACCACTCGTATTTAACGGCAGTTTTGTTAATTCCCCATAACTTGAATTTAATTTAATTCAAGATATGCTGAGGCAGAACAGAGCTGAGCAGCACAGATAACAAGAAGGATAAAAGATGAATAAAGTACGTGCACACAATGAACAATGAACACACACACAGACACACACACACAGAGATACAGATTCACACAGACGCACAGAAGCAATGACTACAATATGAAAATGGCCAAGAAATTGCCGTTTCATTTTACT